TCCGTTTACGTACTTTATGTAGATTATGATCTATGGTAATATTCAATTTCCTATTAGGAAATTGAATGTTTCATAGATCATAGGTGTCACGTTACGATTTATGTCAGTGTCACGTTACATATAGGTGTCACGTTAGTAAGAGTAGATCAACGTTACGTTTATGTAGGTGCCACGTTACGGTTACGTTAATAGATATGATCTATGGTAACATTTAATTTCCTATATATGGTTTTACTATATTATGATATTAACAACTAATATATGAGGGTAAATGTGTCAACAAACTTCCCACAAGACTTATGGGAACATAAGTTTTTTAGTAAGACCATATGTAGTATAAGTCTTTCCTAATAAGACGTTATACATAATTTTCCCTTTTTTTATTTTTTTATTTTTTTGTAAATAAAATTTGTTACACTTCATTTGGATAGGGTGATTTGTAAGAAATGATTAGAAATATTGACTTTCTTTTTTTTTTCTTCCATTTTTGATTTATAAGTTGAGTGAGAAATGATAAAAAATAGTAAGAAAAATAATTCTCTTATTAGCCTACTTTTGCATGCAACATTTTTAGCCTAAAAATAAAAATAAAATTACTAAAGATCAAAAAAGCCTATAATCTATACCAAAAGTCAAAGATTCTGTTTTTTCTTTATTTTTGCACATTTTTTTCGTAAAAAACAAAAAGCTCCTTCTAAACATACTAATTTTTACCTCATATTTTAGTCAAAAAATAAAAAGTTACTAAAATAGCATATTCCCAAATGAAGCCTAAGTTATTTCATTTATCACCAAAAGTGGTGAGATTTGGTGAAAAACAAATTGATTGTTTGTAAAATATTATAGTAACAAAATTACCTCTTAAAAATACACAAGAAGAAAAAAGAAATCATACTCATATCTTACTCATTCAAACATGATATTGAGAAAATACAATCATTTCTTTTATTTTCTTACCTAGATAATAGATGTACAGGAAAGAAATAAACCTTCTCGTATAATCCTGTTGATCAAGTCTTGCGCTCCTCCGAACGTCGTCGCCTTATTCCCTGAAAACACAAACGTGAGCTAGCCGGCGGGTGGTGTGCCGGATACCTCTCGATGCCTAAGTCAGCAAAATAGACAAAGACAAAAAAGCTCTGTGTATCAAAGTCGTGTGTTTACCTCTCCAATTAGTTTGATGTTGTAAGCTTTTATAGGTTCCGCGTGGCCATAATCCTAGTAGACTTTTACTCCTCATTGTAGAGTCCTCCTAGGATTCATACTCTGAAAGATAATGCCTATCCTTCACACCCCCCTCACTACATAAACCAAGTGAGATGGATCTACCATGGTCAGACTTTACATGACCGAGGTAAGCATGGTTATGCCTAAAGCCGCAGACTGGACCGAGATAACATTAGCTCGGCTCTTCCATTTACTGTCTTACTCGGCTTTTTTAATGCTAACCACAGTATGTTTAAGACGGAATAACCAATACTCTGGTACAAACCGGGATAACTTTGTGAGTGACGACCAAACTTACCATAAGCTCTTTGGGACCGGAGTAACTTCAGTCTCTCGCGGACGGAGTAACTTTACACCTCTTCGGGCAAGTAACTTTATACCCTCTTTGAGCTCGGAGTAACTTTTACACCTTTCTTGAGCCGGAGTGACTTCATGGCCATTTTACTTAGCCCTTTGCAATGTGGCCATAACAGGCCCATTACCCCAGCTCGGCCCAATTTATTAAGTATAAATACCCTCTCAATTGCCCCATAATTCCATCTGCGTAGGCATGATAGGGATTACCTGTACCAGCCCAAGCTAAAGCCATTTAGCCTTTCCAGCGAGTAAAAACCTTTTTTCCTTTTCAGCCGAGCTAAATCACACCGGGGTTGTACCTGTCCGGTTCAAAACGTCTCTTCCATCACAGCAACTGAATCACTTCTCATTCCTATGACACGTGGCCCCCTCTGATTGGCCCAATGCAGTTGTCACGCCGTCTTCGTACTCCGTGAATTTTGAACTGTTCCGCCTCTGTCTTCTCCATCAAAACAAAACTTTTCATTTTGAATCTCACCACACTTCATCTTCTCTCCTCTTGTTCTTCTCTCTTTGTTGCACGTCTACTTGTTGGTGCAACTTTTAAGCCTTGTTGTGGACATAGCCCACTATTGTATATTGTGTTGTCTTCACTCTCTTTCTCCTTTATTTTATGCTGCGTACGTGATGGGATAAGTATGACATCATCAGTGTTTTCCTTAGCATTGTTTGCATGAATGTGCAGTCCTACGTGACGTGACACTTACATAAACGTAACATGACACCTATGATCAATGGCAACATTCAATTTCCTATATAGGAAATTGAATGTTGCCATAGATCATATTTATATGAAACGTAACGTGACACCAACATAAACCAGCAACATTTTCACATTCAATTTAAAAAAATAAAAACTCATTAAGTTTGCAAAACGTAACGTGACACGTTACGTTACGTTTATGTAGGTGTCACGTTACGTTATGTTTATGTAGGTGTTACGTTATGTTACGTTTATGTAAGTGTCACGTCACGTTACGTTTATGTAGGATCTTGTGGAATATATTCCTATCTAAATAGGGTTTGAGACTCTATAAGAAATTACACAGAACTTAGACTAGCATATGTGTCTGAAAAATGACTTATAAATAAGTCTCCCTAAAAATAAATCTATTTTGTGTTTTTTTATAAACAGAAAATAAAACTGACAACATAAACAAACAACTAGTTAAACTAAAAACTCTCAGAAAATAAAATTTTTATTTCAATTTATTTAAGTAATTTATATCTTAAAATAATAATAATAATAATAGGGTAAATTACACTTACACTCTTAAGGTTTAGGTTTAATACATATTACTCCTGACATTTGGAAAATTACACTAATCCCATGCAATTGTAATTATTTATACGAAATGAATATATTAAACTCATACACTCTCTCTTTTTTTACTTTACTTTACTTCCTCTATTTTTGTTTTTCTTTCCTTTATTTTACTTTTTTTTTTCAATGCAATTTCCTCTATTTTTATATTGGGAATTGTTATTTTTTACATAAGTAATAATTTGTGGAATGAAACTATTAATCATAGGGACAAGAATGTAATTATCAAAACGTTAAAAAATAAAATGTAATTGAATCGAATTTAAGGAGGTGTGAGTATAATTTGCCCTACAAAAAAAAAAAAACTATAGGCACCAAACGAGCTAGACCAAGCCAACCTGTGCATTGCTGCCGTTATCTATGCTTGTCCCTCATCCCGCGCCAGTTATTCTGATAGCAGTTAAGATAACTGCCCAAAGGTCAGAATTCATCACTGTTGAATTCCAATGTTAACAGCATTTGCCTCCCACACCCCAACTCCTCCTTCACACCCATCCTCTCTCCATCCACCCTTAACCCCCCAAAATGTCCCCAACAACCCCTTCTTCACACCCACCAACCGCCGCCACATCCTTGCTTCCCTTGCCATCACCCCCTTCTTATCCATACCCTCAGCCGAAGCTCGCGGTCTCTTCCAAATGCCCCCTCCTCGACTCAGCAATCGGTATATCTAATCTACATAACTAACAATACATGTATATTCATGTATATGGATTGTGTGGTGATTGGGTTTGGATTTTTAGGTACTTTCTTGTTAGAGCTGGGGAGTCTGAATTTGAGAGCTTGGGGATCATTAACACAAACCCAGTTGCCAAGACTTCCATGGATAGTGGGTTATCTGAGAAAGGGAAGAAGCAGACTATCAGAGCTGCTCTTCAATTGAAGACATTGGGGGCTTGCGAACTGAATTGTTGGGTTTGGCCTTCCATTACCCAGAGAGCTTATCAGGCTGCTGAGATTATTGCTGCTGTCAATGGTGTCAATCGCAGGTATTATATCCAATTGGGTACCAACACAATTCAATTAATATAAAATGGGGAAATGTAATTATGGGTTTTCAGTATTCAATTGATTTTTTTTTATACCAAGGTTTCTTGTTGGTGATTTTAGACTTTTGATTTTGAAATTTGTGTAAAAACTGATATGCGTCTATAAGAAACTGTTTGATTCATTTGCATTGCAATCTGTTGTTATATTTGGTCCATTAGAATGAGCTGGAATGGAATGATAATGTTCATTTGTTCACTAAAAAAATTATGGAAAATGCATTGCAAATGGAATATCATTCATCATTGTTAGGGAATGGAATGGTCATTCTATAAGGAGACTAAGAATTAACCATTCCATTCCAATCTACTTTCATTCCCGTGAACCAAACACCACCTATATGTTCAATCCTATTCTTCTTTATTTTATTTGTATATATAGTTGTTTTGTTGTAACTATTACCAATTTTTTATTTTTTTATTGCAGTCAAATAGTCCCCGAGTACAGTTTTTTGGATGCTCGTGGTTTGGGAGCTTATGAAGGCAAGAACTTGGAATCTGTCTCTGAAGTAAGCATTGAATATTTAAAAAAATTTCGAAGACTTTCTTCATGATTTTATACTCTTAGGGCATGTTTGATTGGGTGGATTAGAGCATGGGATTAGGATTATTAATCTGTGGGCCCAATTATCCTATGTTTGTTTTAAGATTTTGGTTTAGGATTATTAATCCAATGGATAATTAATCCAACAAATTTGTAGGATTATTAGTAATGGGGTAGGGGTGGGATTATTAATCCAATGGATATTAATCCAATTGGATAGTGAATACCACACTAATTTAATAGGATTATTAATACTTCACTATTAATCTTGTGAATCAAACATGACCTTACTGTTCTGAAGGATAAGATTTGAAATTAATTTATACATGCCTAGTGGTTTTTTGTAAATGTTTCACTCTCTCTACCCCAGAACAGGAGTGGTGTATCCGTATTGTTGTAAGGCTATGTTTGGATGACAAGAATCAAAGAGTAGGAACATAATCGTATTACCGAGAATTTCATTGCCAGTAATTATCCTCCTGAGGTAGTTAGTGTTTGGTTTGGTTAGGAATCCTCTATAGGAATATAATATAATTTTAAATTTTAAGAGTCAATTTATTTGTTTTATTAAATCAATCACATTCCTTCAGGAATGTGTGATTCACACGGGGAATGTCAGAAAATAGGATTTGCACTAGTGTTGTAATCTCCTCCTTTTTTAGGAACAAAACTAGGAATCACATTCCAATTCTTGGACGCACCCAAACAACGGAATGAAAGAGACTTGGAATGAGATTCCCAGCCCACCTCTCCATTCCTATCATCCAAACATGACCTAAGGTTAAGATTTTGTGACAAATGTATTTTGAACAAGGGAGCTAACATGTGAATTAAGAATTGTTTACCTGAAAATGCCACAGGTATATGCATCAGATAGTCTTTCTCAAAATATTAAGCCACCCCCTATTAATGACGGAACACCAAATGAGAGCGTGGCAGATGTGTTTGTTCGTGTTACTCAACTCATGTCAATTCTTGAAACCCAGTACTCTGAGGACACTGTCATTATTGTCTCACCCGATTCTGACAATTTAACAATCCTACAAGCTGGTTTACTTGGACTTGATCTCCGAAGGTAACTAGATAATCAATATCTACTACCACTAACTAGCTATCTACAGTATGATCTGCGATAATTTGCCTTCATTCTTGATTTCACAGGCATAGGGATCTCTCTTTTGGTCCCGGTGAAGTCAGATTTGTTGACACTAGTAGCATTCCTACTTACAAGCAGCCTGCATCGGCTTTATACAAGTGTTTAAATCCTCCAAGCTGTAATTGAAACCATTTACTTGGAACTTTATGCTTTTTGGTACGTGAGCACAATTGGGATTCAGGGCAGCTAAATTGTATCTATTTGTCCATATAAATTTATTTTGATTTTTATGGAAGTCACAGATCATATAGTTGATTCTAGTAGCTAAGCTACAAAAGTTCAAAACTAGTCACAGAATCTTTCAGATTTCACATACTTGACACAACCAAGACCTAAATAAAGATTTGGGTCATGCGCATCCTGATTATGTGACATTGTCCATCGTGGTTGGCACATTTACATTTATGGGATCAAACTCTTATCACTATTTGATGATCAGTTGGTCAGCACAACAGGCTCCAGAACAAGCTCATTGGAACATTTGGCTGTACATGGTTGTCTGTTATGTTGCAACATCAATCTTAAGGTTTATCATGTTTAAGAACATGTAGAGGTATCACCACTTTCTTCAATATTTTCCTGTACAAACTTTAGCTTTCTTTTTATTCTTTACTTATTCTTCTTTGGGGATTTTGTCAATCCTCAATTTAGGCTTAGTTTGTAGCTTCTGTCTATTATCATAAACTTAACTATCAACCATTTGTCAAGTGGTTTTATTGGGCATTCTTTTTGTGCAACAAACTTGAGTTGAGGTATCAATTTCTTATTCCTGATTCTGGAACATAGCTGTCAAAAATTTTCAGGGCCCTCAAGGCTGACACTTTTGGCGCAAGTTGTAATAGTGAATGAGGCTTCTCTGTGAAGAGCACATCAGCTTTGCATTTTATAGGTATGGCTCCAATGGTAAGATGTTGAATCTTGTCTCTCATCGACAAAGCAGATTACATATGACAGCATGTAAAACTTCTTAGTTTGATGAACTTTTTCACTAGTGACACGTATGCAAGGTTGTGAAAAGCGGTTGCGGTCGCCGTAACGGTGGCGGTGGCGGTGGCGGTGGCGCGGTTGTGGTTGCGGGGTGTAAAGGCCGTAGCGTAACGGTTGAGGTAACCGGAACCGTGAATTTTTTTATTTTTCGCACAATTTGAAAAAAACTTACCGATATGCACATTTTTTTTCCATGATCGTATTTATTGGGTTTTAAAATAAATATTGATTAATTTTTATAAATTTTTTAATTTGATCCAATATATTTTGTATTTTTAAATCATTACAAACTGAGTTTTTTACATTTTATTTTAATAATTAATGACTTTATATTATACAAAAAATCAATCACTAACTATTATATATAAGATAAATAATGACAAAAGTAAGAGAATAAATAAAAGGCTAAATATATATATATATATATTAATCAAGCCAAATAGTGACCACACTTATTATTATTATTATTATTATTATCAAACAATATATAGATAGATACACACAAACAAAATGATTGAGTGATAGCAGCTGAATATAATAGTATAAGTTTTACAGTTTCAACAAATCAATAATATGTTCTTCATTTTCCCTCTTCTCTCTCTCTATCTCTTGTTCCTCCATCTTCCCTCTTCTCTCTCTATCTCTCTTCCCCATTTTCAACTTTTTTTTTTCGAAAAAAGCAATTCCGAACCGTTATGTAACGGTGCGTAACAGGCCATTACGGCCGTTACAGCACCGTTACGACCGCTATAGCAGCCGCTACAGCCGATACACCTGTGAATCTCAATCACACCGCAAAAGCGGCCGTAACGGGTGGCGGTAACGACCACAACCGTTACGTAACGGTTGCGGCCGCTTTTTAAAACCTTGCACGTATGATTTTTTCTCCTGTTTTGGTGAATTGCATTGGACTTGATTTATTACATGATTTAGTGCTAGAAGCAGAGTTTGTTTATCTATGTGAGTGATTGCCTTATAAATGAAACCAATCAGTCTGATGGTTTCATACTTGTTAAAATGTGGATTTGGGAAAAGAGTGTTGCAATATAGTCCCTCAGTAAAAACAAATGCTAAATAATGTTTCTATTTCTTAATCTTTACACATCTTTAAAAGCTTCCTTGCCTGAAAATTTCTCTTAGAAAACTTATATGTAGCGAAAAATTAAGAATTTCACCATCCTTCTTCTCCTTGCTTGAGAGCTTTAAAATTTAAACTGCAACAGCTGTGGTATGCTAACTCAATTAGGGCTAGTGAGTTGCAATAACATCTCTCTTTTAGACTGAGGATCACTTGTCCCTTTCTCTCTTGTTCTTTGGCTCATATTTCCTCTCTACCTCACAATTAGATTCTTCGTGATCTGATTGTGTGGTAAAGAGGGTTTTTAAGGGACCATACAGCTGCTATATGTCTAAAAATGGGGAGGACTTTTCTATTTTTGCCTAATTGGCCTTGCAGTTTTCTCAAAAGGAAGTGCTAGATTAGTATGCTTTTTGACTTTTTACGAAAAAAACATGAAACATGGGTTGGATTTGAAGTGATGTAATAGAGAGAGAGGTGATGTAATTTAAATAAAATGATTATGACCTAAATAAGATAATATACTAATATAGCATGTGCTATTTTAGCACATGCCCAACAACCACTTAATTTACTTTCCCAACAACACCCCTTTGGTTGGCTTTTGAAATTGGTTAAAACTTACTCTAATGTTGTTGTAAATGTGTATCTACACTTTAATGTGAACATCAACACAGATGATTATCCTCTCATTATAGAAGGGAAGACAGGTCAAATATTACTTGGCTCCTCTGGTTTTGACTCTTATGTTGTCTCCTCCAAGTAATGTGTTCTATATTTGCTGGGGGGCAAGGCCCTCTGTTGTTTACCAACCCACTTCTCTCTGTCTGGTTTTTTTGCTTTTTATACTGCTAAATCACTTTCCTTTTGTCAATTCCTGTTTTGTTTGGTTTGATTTTATATTTTGTTTTTTGATTTTTGTCTTTGAAAAAAAGTAGTATAAAGTAGTTTCATTAAAACCTAACAGATATTTTTTCGTCCTAAAAAAAGAAAATCATGTGAAATTAATGAGTTTTTTTCTTTAATTTTTCATCAAATTATTATTGTTATTATTTAAAAACAAATTTTGGAAACAAAACAAAACATAGTGAATCCTTTCAATCTCAAGTTACTCTTATATTGAGGGTTTTTGTTAACTGTCAAGATTAGTTTATCAGACGAGGGTTTTTTTATTTTTTATTGTTAGTGAATGTCTTACGTGCACTCTGACTTTTTAGCAATTATTTTATACTTTTTAGCAAATTTCTTACTAAACAAATGATCAAATATCTCACATAGATATGGAATTCGTAATTTTGTGGACCTCACACTCATTTGAAACGTTTGATCATTTGTTTAGTAAAAAATTTGAGATCTACAGCATTTTCCTTCCCCTTTATATGATATTTTCCCTTTTAATTTTTTCCATGTTGTAGATAGTCCTTAGGTGTTGTTTAGAATTAATTTTTTCATAGTTCTTTTAGTTATTTTTTTTTTTAAGATAAAATTGATGAAAAGTCCCATAATGTATATGACATTAGGTCTCATGATTGATTTATTTTGGGGTTTTTTTTAGAATATTGATTTGTTTCGGTTACAAGTATATGGCTGATGAAATATATTTGTGAGAAGCACAAATCATTGTTTAAAATGACTTTTTTTTTCTCATTTTTATTTAGTATTTTTTCTATTCATATTTTTTCTCTTTATTCTCACACACTATTATCAATCGTCGCTTACCACCACTAGCAACTCGCCGAAAAAGTGGCCAAAAAGTTGTTGGCGGCCAATGACCAATGGCAACAAACAAGTGGACACGTGAACAGATAAATATATAAGAATGGATAATATGATCTTCCAAATTATTATTGTCATTTTGAAAAATAAAATAAAATTTGAAACAATTGTCCTAAAAATTTTAAATTTAAATTTAAATTTACAATCCAAGTGCCCTTCATTTTAGTTTACTTTTGATAGATCAAAATGGGTTTGGGATGGTTGTAGTGCACTATGCGCAATAACCATTATTTAATTGTGCGGTCTTTTGGGCCTATTTTGTGGCACATTTAGATGATTTAACTATTCACTTTTTAGATCATGTCGAGTAGAAGATATTTATAAAAATCAAATTGATCAAATATCGATAGTCCTTTCATCAATTCACATTTATATTTATAAAATTTGTATTTTAAATTACACTTACCATTCAAATTACACTTTTTAGTTTTATATTTCAAATTACACTTACTATTTATTTTTATTTTTAATTTTTTTATAAAAATGTGAAATATAAAACATATTGAATTTTACATTCAGAAAGATTTAAAGGGTTGAAGAATATCAACGGACCAAATTGATCATATTACACATGAGATTTTTCACTAAATCACTCATTATTAAAACAATCTAAATAATTTAAGGGAGTAGCTTCCCTCCGGTCCGATCGGAGGGTGCTATTGGGTCCGTGGGGCCCACTACGGATTCCTTTTCGATGATTTGAATTATTCAATGTGTAGAGCTCGTCGAGTACTATATGCCTATAGAACATCATGTTGATTGGATATGAATAGCTATCTCATCGGATCAATTTTCTATCAACTGTTAATTTGTTTACCGTCTATTTTTTTTATACAAAACTAATTTGATCACATATTTATCGATATTCGATCAACGTGAATTTTTACAGGCATATAGTACTCGATGAATTCTACACATTGAATTGTTCGGATTATTGAAACAGGACCAATTAAAAAAAAATTATCGAGTCGAGCCGAGCCGAGATCGAGATCGAGTTTCATTAATATTAACGAATCGAGCCAAACTCGAGCTCAGTTTCTCATTGACCCAAGCTCGAGTTCAGTAAAACTCGACTCAATTTGATTCATTTGAGGGATTTAGAAGTTCTTTTACACTTTGTTTAGATTGATGGTTAGAAGGAGAAGGGAAGGATTTTGAGAGATATATTAGTTAAATTATGCATGAATTAAGGTCTCGTTTTAAAGAGAAGTACATGGAGGGGTTACAAGGGGAAGGCAGTACAAGTGTTTTAAGCATTTTACTTCTCCAAAATTGGGAGTAAACGGTAGGAAGATGAATTGCTTCTTATAATAATATATATTAAATTATCTAATTAAATATATCTTTTCTTAATTAAGTATTGTCATTCCGTATCCTCTCTAAATCTTAAAACTTTTTTTTCTTCTCTCTCTAAATTTTCTCTAAGGGGAGAGGGAGACAGTAGTGGTTCCCTCACTTCTTTGATCTCCTTATCCTCTCTCTCTTCTTGATCCTCCTCCAGATTTAATGTTTGTCTCACCAATCCGGCCATCATCGCTTTACATTCTCCACACTTGAGTCCAAAACTTTAAGATTTGGTTTCAGATTTTCTTACATTTCAAAAGCTGACGCTGGATAGCGTGTTTGTTTCACGCTAGGTGACTATCACAATCTCAATGTTCTATATTGACTGCTTGATGTGGGGTCTTCATATTCCAAATTGAGGGTTGCAAAATAGTAGATTTTGGATGAGTTTGGTGATAACTTGAATTTGATTTTTTTATGTTTGAATTTTTTAATTTTTAGTTTATTAATGTAATAATCTTTCCTGTGTAGAAATTCGTTTCCCTCCCTTATGAGAGCCTTTTCTCTTCTTTTATAGAGGCTTGGATCCTTAGGCCCC